AAACCATTGTGGATGTTCTCTTGAACCACATTTTCAAAGAGAGGACGGACCTGTTCCAGGGTACTTTTCTCAAAGAACTTTCAATGATACCATTCCTGTGTCCTGAGAGAGCCCCCAAAGAACTTATTAAGCTTCATTCGCAGTACCAAGAGATGAGTGGCACACTTCCCCTGATTCGTTTCAGTGGGTCTCAGGTAAATCCAAAATTCAAGCAAACAGATATTATTCACTTGCTTTGGACATCTTGCCCAATTCTACCCGAGAAAGCTACACCATCAAGCATAAAGGACCAGGAGGGGAGCACTCTCACTGGACAGGAACAACTTGACCAAGTGCTGAACGTGTTAGGCGTCAACTTGGATCCACCGTTGGAGAAAGTCATAAGCAACTGCAAGAACATCTGCAACATATCCAATCCAGATGATGAAATGGTGAAAACCAGGAACAAAGTTCTGAGGTCCACCTACGAGTTCCTCAATGCAGACAAAAGAGATTTCCGTTACAATCTCCGTGGGGTTACTTTTGTCATGGTTGAAGATGGCTGGAAATTGCTGAAACCTGAAGAGGTTGTCATTAATTTGGACAATGAATCTGACTTCAAACCCTACTTGTACAAATTACCTTTGGAACTTGGTACCTTTCATCAACTGTTCAAACTTCTTGGCACAGAAGACGTTGTGTCAACCAAACAATATGTTGAAGTGCTGTGGCGAATTTACAGAAGTTCAGAGGGCAAACAGCTTGACCCAAATGAAATGAGAACTGTGAAAAGGGTTGTTTCAGGATTGTTCAAGTCTCTCCATAATGATCCAGTGGAAATTCGCAAAGATCTCGAGAGTCTCAGAGATTTGATATTTTATCTGCCAAGTCATGATGGCAGATTGGCAAAATCCAGTAGCTTGGTGTTTGATGATGCCCCACACTACAAGAGCAGAATTCAGGGTAATGTTGGAGTTCAGATGCTTGTAGACATGAGTCAGTGCTATTTGGGCAAAGATCACTCCTTCCACACAAAGCTGATCATGCTACTTCCACAAAAATTAAGGCCTAGACTGTTAAGTAGCATTCTTGAAGAGCAACTTGATGAGGATTCTCCAAAAATGTGCCAGTTTGGAGCTCTTTGCTCACTTCAAGGTCGCCTCCAGCTGTTGCTGTCATCAGAACAGTTCATCACAGGACTGATCAGAATAATGAAACATGAGAATGACAATGCATACCTTGTGAATGAGGAAAAAGCCATACGTCTCTGCAAAGCTCTTTGTGAAGGATTGAAAGTTTCTTGTTTTGAGAAACTTCAGACAACATTAAGAGTGAAAGGATGTAGCCCTATCCCACACAGCCGCAGTGAAACACTTGCCTTCCTCAAGAGGTATGGGACAGCTGTAATTCACCTCTACATCCAGCATTCAGACAGCAAAGACATTAATTTTCTCTTAGCACTGGCAATGACATTGAAGTCTGCTACAGACAATTTGATTTCTGACACATCCTATCTGATTGCCATGCTAGGCTGTAATGACATCTACAGAATCACAGAGAAGCTGGACAACTTAGGAGTTAAGTATGACTCAACAGAGCCTTCAAAACTTGAGCTGCCCCTCCCTGGAACCCCCATACCAGCTGAGATACATCACACACTCCTCATGGATCCCATGAATGTATTTTATCCAGGAGAATATGTGGGTTACCTTGTAGACTCTGAGGGTGGAGACATGTATGGGTCCTACCAGCCGACCTACACATATGCCATCATTGTTCAAGAAGTAGAAAGAGAAGAGGAGGAAAACACAAGTTTCCTTGGAAAATGCTTCCAGATTGACATTGGTTACAGTGAGTACAAAATAGTCAGTTCCCTCGACTTGTACAAATTCTCAAGACAAGATGAAAGTACCCATGTGCGGGACACTAGTGCCCCATCAACTCCTACAAGCCCAAACAGTCGACCCTCTGGTCTACGAATGATCCCTCCGATCTTTCCTGGTAAGGAAAATCTCAGACCCCCCCCTCAAAAGCAGTCTCCAAAAAAGATCAAGCTTCATGCATTGCCTGAAATTCTGAAAGAAGTGACCTTAGTAGTTGAACAAGCTTGGAAGCTTCCAGAGACAGAGAGAAAGAAGATAATCCGCAGATTGTATCTCAAGTGGCATCCAGACAAAAATGCAGAGAATCTGGACGTTGCCACAGAAGTCTTTAAGCACTTACAGAACGAGATCAGCAGGATGGAGAAACAGTCTTTGGCTGATCAGCAAAATACAGACAGAGCTTCCAGGAGATCGTACTCCTCATCATCCCGCTTCCAGTCAGAGAAGTTCTCATTTCAAAGGTTTTATTCATCATGGAACCAAGAAGCAACAAATCACAAATCAGAAAGGCAACAGTTCAGGGAAAATCATACAAGCTATGCCGGTTCGTCACACTCTCATCGTTTCTTTGTGCCCCCTACTTTCAAGACAGTTGGAAATCCTGTGGAAGCCCGTAGGTGGCTGAGACAAGCAAGAGCGAACTACTCTGCTGCTCGGAATGATCTTCATAAAAATGCCAATGAGTGGGTTTGTTTCAAATGCTACCTGGCCACAAAGCTTGCACTGATAGCTGCTGACTATGCAGTCAGAGGAAAGTCAGACAAAGATGTGAAACCAACTGCTCTGGCTCAAAAAGTTGAGGAGTACAACTCCCAGTTAACTGGCCTTGCCAATGATGTTCAGATCCTGGAAGGATATGGTGTGGACAGCCTGAGAACTCGCTATCCTGATCTCCTGCCATTTCCACAGATTCCCAATGACAGATACACATCTGAGGTGGCAATGAGAGTGATGGAATGTACCGCACGAATTATCATAAAGCTTGAAACCTTTGTGCAGCAAAAAATATAATACTGTTGTTAAAAATAACAATGAAACTACAGTATGCATAGATCCTGTGTGGAATAAAGGACATCCATTGCTGTGTACAATACAGATCATGTAAATCACTTTGAGTAAAACTGAAGTATCCAGCTGGCAGCTTAAGGTACATATGCAGTTTCTACCTGTGATGTGGGTGCTGTGACCCATGCACAGTAAATAAATGTATGGCTCCCATAACCTATTTGGCCGTCTCAATATAGATTTGCTGTAATATGTGAAAAAAAAACATTGCATATGCTGTACATACAAATGCCTAAGCAATACGTTTTGTTTACCAAAGTCCCCACATTGAATATATTTGCTCTGAGTTGGATTTAAAAATATGCTGCTTTTTTTACTTTATATTTTATAAAAAATATAAATATATATATTTTCTTGCTACAGAAAACCAGTTGAGTGTACTGAAAGGATGCGCTTATAATGAAGAAACAGATCAACTCTAAATGTCTAATACTGCAATTACTGTCATGCAAGTCCTATTTGCAAGATCTCAGCAAGTCAAGAAAATTACAATCATCTTTGTACATTTTCTTTTTTCTATTTTTATGGTTGATTTCATATCATTTCTGTAAAAGTTGTAAATCTTTCTGTAACATAGCCAATCACTTGTTAATGGACAAAGCACTTTTTTGAAACTCATATACTCGCACTTGCACTTATACAGCGCTTGTGTCACCCCAGCAACTTGGGAGAATCCAACTGTGAATAGAAAACCTTTTATGTTACCTAAGAAATTGTTTTCTTGGAGATGTGTTTTGTTTTGTTAAAGTTATGTTTAATGTTTGTTGAGCTCTATGCATAACATCTGGTGACTGTTTTGCGTCATTACCTGTTCATATACAACGTGTACTCCTGGGCCCTAGAGAGAACAGCTCTGCTTTGATAACTAAAGTTTTGGACAGGGCAGTGATTACTATAACTTAGCTTTTGCTTAAACAAGTCATCCAGAAGTAATTTCTTTTACAGTGATGACCTGTTTGGGAATACTCAGTAGGACAGTACGATAAAATAAAGAGCCATATATATGCTATAATTTGGGCACAACACTTAACATGTTAACTTTTGCCAGCATTAAACCATGTTCATACATTTTTGGTAATTTTAACTTTTCTGGTTTAAGGAACATAGAACAGCACCAAACTGTGGTGCTTGTGTGTTTTTACTGTATTATTGGCTTCATTTTACTGTTGATGTAAATGACTACACACACACTGACCACATATTGTAAATGTCAATTTGAAACCTAATTTAAAATGTGCTTCTTGGTATCTGTTGTCTTATTACACCTCAAGCTTGAGGTGACTCAACCGAGGATGTCTCCTTGAATAAACTGGAGAACCTTGTGTATCATACATGTTGATGTACATTGTGCCATAGGAAGGCTTAATAAATTCCCCTTAAATAAACTGTGTCCTTTTTTTTCTAGGTTTATAAAAGAAGGCACATTTAAAAAATAAAGTTATGAGTCTATCATTTAAACTATTTTGGCTTTTTAAAATGGCCATATTTTGTGTTTCATCGGTTTTAAATTTTCATTTCATATGCTGTCTTAAGTTTACAAGCATAACAACCCATTTGTTCTCTTAAGTAGGGAAATATTATATAAATATAATATAGTCATTATTGGTATTGTCATGGAATTGTCACAGCGGACAGAAGTGGCTCTATTGTTTTGTTTTAGAGAGTCTGGTTGTGGAAATAAGTTGTTTTTAAGAGGTTAATTCATACATTTTAAAAGAAAATCTTATTTTTTCATGACATTTTTTCATTGAAGTCTGAACAATCTTAATCAGACATCGGATTTGAGAAAAAATTGGATCATCATGTGGGGGTGTGCACAAATGCCACAAATCTGCTCTGCAACAAATTCACATTGGGACCTTTTGGCCTGGTTTAAGTCATTAGTGTGTGCTTATGATCAGTCTGTTTTGTATATCGTGCTGATACTGCAGAGCTTTTCCACTAGGGTGCATTAGAGAGCCAATGAACATGGTTAAGACATGATCAAACTGTATCCATCTCCACATTACAGCTTTAGTGCACGGCAGAACACAAAAACATAAGACCAGTATGAATAGCCGTGAGAGACACATCATAGAAGAATAGCACAAAGTTTATTCAACATACAAAATTAATAAATACACATTACACACTTTATCAAAATATGCCAGAACATAGGTGAGAACTGCAAATGATCTACTTATCAACACTGACAATGATAACACAACACTGTGAGAACAGCAGCAACAGTCTTGCAGATAAATGAATGCTAAACTCAATGTAACTGTCATAAAATATTGCCGTTTTTGACATTATGAACTTGGAACCTTCATGTTACAACAGAGGCAAATGCTGTTTATTACCTGTCATGCAATGTGTGAAAAGAAAAGAAAGTCAAGACATATTTGACCCAAAAAGCAGAGCAAAACTGAAAAAATAATCCCATTATTTCCCACTACCCAAAACTACAGTGCCTTTATTAGACTTGTTTTGTTTTTGTTTTATTGTTGCTGTGGTCAAATATAATGTTTTGGCTGTAGCTTACCTGCAAGAAAAACTTATAGCAAATTCATAATTACATGCTTATGCAAAGTAACACAAACATGCATAATCTTATAAAATGAAAAAAACATAATACACACATGATACCACACTAGTAACATTTTAATGGTATAAGGACATGGTATTTTAATCTAAACCCGAAAAAGCAGTTGAAACAAAACAAGACACAAGTATGTTGCCTAGTGCTGTATCTCTAATTATCAAATCCATCTCTGAAGTGACTATGACAATGTCAAAATATACACCAGCATTTCTTAAAATTTCCCCCGCCAATTGAATAAAAACATGCTACACACCAAGACAAAAAAAAAACTACATACCAAGGGCTTGGAGCCAGGAGGGCATAAGTAAACCTAAATAAATACTTCAATTATCATTCTGTCACCATTTGAGAGATTTTTTGATTATTATTACTCCAAGCCCTTGATATGTGTCACTTTCATTTATTGCACCACAAGATAATATTGCATAGGATGTAAGCTGTTACCAGCTCCTCATTGCCCAGCCATGATACTGTGTGTGTAAAAAACATTCTCCACAAAGCTCTGATGCAGATAAATTTGGAACTGAGGGCCACTTTGTTTCAGATGAACAGTTAGAAGGTCATAAATGCAACTAAAAGGATGCATTTCATGACGTCTCCAACATGTACGCCAGCAGGCATTTGTATTTTTACAAGCCTCTGTGTGCCAGTGGGATTTTAGCACTGAGATCATCATAGATCCACTGTGGTATAAAGATAAAAAAAAAACTCAGATATAAACAGTTGTGCTTGTTGCCTCCCAGAAGATGCATCTACTGAGAGATGGAAAATCGATTACCTTGTCAGAGTCTTTCTAGCAGTCCTGATTCTCACTGCATGTGGAGGTGACCCCAGCCTTGGAGAGAAAGAGCTTGCCGCTGGGACAGACACAGACCTCATAGAGACCCTGAGCATTTCCAGAAACCCCTTCTTTGCTCAGGGGCAGGCTCGGCATGCGCACTGTCTCAGCATCCAGCACCAGCTGCACCGCAGACAGCATGGAGAGCAAGGACGATACAAGGAGAACAACAGAGTTGCATTGAATCAACAAGAAAATACCACTCTGCTTCATTCTTTCCACTTTAGGCGAGTGAATACGCATATCATAGCACTAAGTGTGGTGGGAGATAGGGGTATACGCTCTGGTCCATAAGGAAGATATAATAAATAGAATGTGATACAAGGTCCACATTCCTGTGGCAGAGAAGCCACTGAAAATCAGAGGTTGTGAGCATTCATATAACTTTTATATCATCTAGGACGAGTTCGGTGCAGATTTAACACCAAGTTTTCTACCCTCTAGCAAGAAAAGAGAGATGAGGGAATGTTGTTGCCTGCAACTACAATGTCATATAAATACATATAATAATAATAATAGTGCCTGTGATAGGAATGTTTTATGTAGTCAGCCAGTTAGTTACACCACAGCAGTTACCCAGCTTTGATTCAGGCAGAATTAATCACCAAGACTCACTCTAAACAGTAACATGGAAACTGCAAACCACTACAACCACAGCAGACCTACAGAGTTCAAAAGGCAATGAACTCATTATAGTTTATCTTAGTGGGGTTTTTTTGCTCTGAAGACAACTCCTTGTGTTCACAAATACAGATCTATAACTCTGCTGTGGGTCCAAAGATACAGTATCCGTATCTCATCTTTACAACCACAAGCAATGGATATATGTCACATTTTACAAGTAAATAAGACAGAAATGTAGAACTAAATTAGAACTGGTTTAATAAGATCTCTTATGGTAATCTGTAAGCTTTTTTGGACAAAAACGTCCAGTGACGTGCAGTGAATGGAAAAAGCAGAGCTACTGTCAGACTGCACTGAGTGAGGCTCTTTTAGATGAAAAGCTCCGAGGTATGACTGTGAGAGATTATAGAAGCGTGAAGCAGCAAGTTGCTGAAAAGCAATACTGTATATTCACTTGGTCATCAAAGGGAAAAAAAACAGACCTGAAGTTGAGGTGTAGCAGACTTCAGTGAACAGTGTTTTTCTTACCAGTCCTGTGCTAGACAGCAGAACAACATCCATGTTGGAAGCAACTTCAATGTTACCAGCCAGCGCTTTTATATGAACTCCTTTTGGCGCGTCCATACTGAGAGACCGAGTAGGAGACTCCAACCTAAAGCAAAACAGCTCAGCATTACATAAACACCAAATGTCTTTTTATTAAAAACTAGCCATTGTTTTACAAATCTGATCATCTTAAGTTTCGTTTTACATAGTATGCAGTAATGACAAACTAATGTTGAAGCAGGTGAAATTACAAGCTAAAGTGTGTCGTAAAACATTAAGATTGTGTAATTTTTCAGTGGATGTCATGCAAATTTGGTTACTGCAAGGACGTGCCCCAAACAACATGACAACCTGACACTTCCACATGACTTGTAGGAGTCAGTCCTCACATGTTATCCAATAATATGACCCATACAAGATCGCCACAATGCTCACCTTAAGTCTTTGAAAGGTTCAGATCTCAGCAGGGGCACTTCCACTGAATGCTGGAACAGCGCTCCTTCAGGACCTGATGGAGAAAGAGATAGACACATTCACCATTTGAGGTTGAATCTTGTTTCAAAATCCACTGCAGTCTGAGGGCCTGATGCACACACGTGTACTATGTGCACAACAACACTTGTAAGAGCTGTGCTGATCTGTCCATTACTGAAATACAGGGTTTCTGTGATCTCAGAATCATCACTTGAAATAGACTGAAACAAGGGCTAAAACATTTTTTACAACTACTTCTCATAAGCATCTTATTGGAGTCTGTAGCATTTAATTTTTAGCTGTGCTAACAGGCAGTATGGCTCCAGGGATGTTGGTCTGTTGGTCCAGCCTTAAATATCCCAACAATTATTACATGGATTTGCACTTTTTGTAGACATTCATGGTCCCCAAAGGATGAACACTGACTTTGGTGAACCAATGAATTTACTCCTAGCCCCACCAGCGAATTTACACTTTTGGCTTTTAGTAAAAAATCTAAATAACTATAGACCTTTCTCACAGCAGCCATTTTGACATGAAATAGTAGGGTTCTGTGCCATCCAGGTCAAACAGAGTCAGGGTGCTGCTATTGTGCTACACTAAACAATATGAAACCTTAATTAGTATCATTCATAACACCAGTGTTTACCCTACTATTTCATGTCAAAATGGCTGCTGTGAAAAAGGTCTGTGGGATAACATAAGTATACTTTTGTGCTGATTAGAACATGTCAGCATGCTAGAATGCTAAACTACCTCCTTTTTAAAACTGTGCATTGCATCAATGTGTACAGCTTGTTTTTAAAGTGTCTGCTCACTTTGTAAATCAGGCAATGCTAGAGAAGAGACAGATTAGAGGTCAAACTGGATCCAAAAAGCCCAACAAAACTGTGCAGGAATGTGGATCCAACCGTGGTGGGTGTAACCACAGTGGGTACAGAAGCTTTGTTTTAAGGTTTTCGATAACAGACTCCTCTGCTGCTGCGTGCTGCTCTGAGGCTCAAAATGACCCTGGGCATAATGAAGCCATCAGCTGACACTCCCTTCACCATTAATCAGCCACCATAGTGTGTGTGGTCAGTGACCCACACAACCATCAATACACACAATGGACACTGAGAGACAGAAAAGATAATGGGGGATGGTTCAGCCTGATAATAGCCTGTAATACTTTACCCTTCAACCCTTTGTTGTGTGATATGACACTGCGGGGTACTCTGGTGTTAGATCTCTTTTTGTTGGCTCAAAACTATAGATGAAAAAACTTAATGCAATGGATCTCACCTTCATGGCATTAATGCATGCTCAGGTTTAGATAACTGAGCTCCTTGACATTTATTTATATGTAGGTTTACTTGAGAGATGTCCATGCACTCAGCTGTATGACATGAATAATTATGAAAATGAATGCATTCGTCTTTGTCCTTGGTTGCTGGATTGTTGCACAGATATCTGCCATCAAACCAAATTGCTCCTGTTGAGTTCACATCTGTTGTCAATATTATCTTTTTCCAAATCTGAAAAACATTTTCGCTGAGAGGTATGCAATATTTCCAAGGAAACAGCAGGTGGCAGAAGCTGGTATACCTGTGACTCGTAGTTTGTCTGGTCCAATCACAGCCTGGTCGCCATCTGCAGTGAACAGCATGTTGTCATTGTGGGAGTTAATGAGCAGATTTCGAGTGTGTCCCTGAGCTTCTTTTGGACCTGCAACGACAAAAACAACAACAGAAAGAATACCTGAAGGGCCTTGGCAGTATTACATGGAAATATTCCAATCATCAGAATCAAATCTTTCTCTTCCTGTTAGAGTATATAATGTGACATATTCATGCTTTACTGGGTAAAAACCTCTTCACATGTAGTGAAGAAGTGACTAAAGACATGTAATCTATTAAAAGAAATGTGGAGTTAAATGTTAAATATGTGTAAATCCAGGAGGTAAATGAGTAACCTGATTACTGCTCAGACAAAGGTAACATATCCGAGGTCATTTTACTTTACCCTTCACTACATCAATGCTCACAGCCCTGTGAGAGGCAAATCTAAAGCTGGTAGATCAGTGAGATATTTAATCCACTTCAGCACCTACAACTGTGAACCGGCATGTAATCTTCTCTAACAAGCACTTCATTTTTATTCACAGAGGGCCAAGAGGATGCATACTATGCTTTTTATGGCTTAATGATCAAGGACACATAACGGCACTGTGGAACATGGCAATTAGTTGGGTCATTTGTTGGCCTTTTAATTATGACAAAATACCCCAACGCAGCCATTGGTGAGCAGTAAGAGAAGCACAAATATGATCCTCCACAGGCCTCGGGCCCTCCGTGTAATACAGAACGATCCAGAGGCAATGGTAGAGAGAGGAATGTTGCATTTAATGGATTTTAAATGGAAATCTAAGAGATTATAAATGAAAAGATGGGTTCTTGTCACTGTTAATGTTTGATGAGAAATTGCTGCAGGACAATCGCGTGAATGACTTTACTATTGCCCTCATACATCAATGGGATACTTTGTTACGTGTGAGTGCTATATGTGTCTCTCTGTGTGTACATGTGTTCTCTTTCAGGCTCTTACCCACAGATATCCGCCCTGTGACATCACCATTTTCATTGCGGGCATTAAGGGAAACATTTTCCGCTGAGTGCACTAGAAGTGAAGAGTCCTGGAAAAAAAAAAGCTATTTTACCATGCTGTGTATAGAACTGATACACATTTGCACCATAGAAATGTAAAAAAAAAGAAATAAAAATCATCTTTTTAAAAATCATTTTACGTTCATCTAGTATCAGAGTATTTTTTACATTCAAATTTACATAAGTTGAACAAACACATAAACTATTCAACTGTTTTTTTCCCCATTTTTTAAGGGTTCACCACTTTGGTCCAGACTGAAATATCTCAGCTAATCGATGGGTAACTTTCATGATCCTCGGACTTATTCCTCTAGCGCCAGCTGTCAGCCTAATGAGGTCGTCATTTGTGTTTCTTACTGAAATCTCTCCTCAAGGGATTGCTATGAAAGTTCAGGATGCACAGTAATAAACTAAAGCAATATCCTGATTTTTCATCCAGCACCATCATTAGGTCAATCTGGTTTATGACCAAATGCTTGCAGAACTAATGACATTCGCCTCAGCCTCAGCTGTGCTTTAGTGCTAATAGACCCTTATCACAGCAGCCATTTTGACAGTCTGTTCCTTTCCGGTCAAACAGAGTCCGGGCGCTACTACTGTGCATGTTGGCTCTCTGGAAAGGCTCTGCTACACTAAATGTAACTGAGCCTTAATTAGTATTATTGATAACACCTGTGTTTAGCTCAAAGCAACTCATAGAGCTGCTAGCATGGGTACATTATAATGATAAGTAAGCAACCCTTTATAAAACAATTAAAAGTTGAAATTATGGCTTTAATAATGGTCAATAAATGTTTAGGTATCATCAATCAATCCAGTGGCACGACACATTTTGCCTTTTTTGTTAGCCAGTACCCGTCAATGGACAGACATTAATATTTACAACTGTAGACTTGACTCATTACAACCTGAAAACCCAAAGGTTATTCTTATTAATGGCTGACCTATGAGGCATTAGTAAATTAATTATAATGAAGCTATTAGTTACAGCATATACACCCTTTATAAATGACTCTACTAGAAAGCAGTACAGATTTTCTACACAAATATTAGCAGATGATGTGACACCAGGTAATTAAGTGAAACATTACTGAAACACTCTGTTTCTGTTTAAATGAGGCTGCAATAAATCACCACTGTTCCTCTGCAGCTGTAAGGAAACCTTGTTTATAAAAGTGATCTAAAAAACTTTCATGTCGAAGGCGAGACAGTGGCTCACTAAATCCCGAATCTCATTAGAAATCCATAGAAGACATTAGAGAAAGGGAAATAAGAAATGTCCATAAATGAGGAATACATTGCCTTTTTAATGAGGCCCATAAAGAAGAAAGAATGCTAAAAAATTGCTTCTATGAGCAAGAAAAGCCATAACATGTAAACAACTGCAGCAAAAGTGTTCCCATCTGCTGCTAGCAGGCGGGCCATAAACTACTTTCCACCACAAATATCCCTGAGGTTAATGGGAAGCTCACTGCACCATCACGTGTACTGTGTAGGACTGCCAAATCCAGTTTGTTCTGACACATCTCCCAAAAAAAAATAAAGTCAGAAATATGCAGCTCACTCACAGCTGGCTAAGGAGTGTCTGCAAGGAATTAGATTTATATGATAACGGCACGTTTAGTCTTGCACAGGTCCAACTCACAATCAAGTCTGGTAAACAATGAGATGAAATAATGGCCGGGCTGTCAGGTGACTTAATTGAGCAAACAGTAGTTTGAAAAAATAAACTTTGAAGAAGACAGAAGACGCAGAAAAGCAGAAAGTACATGGGGGAAAAAAGAGGGATAGCAGAGGGAAGAAGAATGTGGGAAGAGGAACAAGAAAAGTGTGTGTTCCTGATTATCTTACTTCTCTGGAGTGGATCTCCTGAGCATAGACGGGGAAAAGAAACTCTGACTCGCCCTCCTCCAGCTTGACCCCATCTGAGTGTACTTGAAGGAGTCCCATCCCTTCCTACAACCAAAATCAAGGCACACATACTCAGATAAAGATACAGCAAGGCAGGCAAAAAAAGCAAGAAAAGCTGAATAATTAACTGTATATCAACTAACTGGCTTTATCTGCAAGGTAAGAATCCACAATATGGCAGGTTAGGAGGTAAGAGAATTTAGATTTTATCATCCAAACACTGCACAGGGTTCCAAGTGTGAAACACACATATCAGTGCTCCCTGTAGGATTTAGGGCCAACTGAGAATAAACCAGCCAGTTGCTTTAGCTGTGCTGGCGCTTCACAGCAGTGTGTGTTTATCCAAGTGTGTGTGTGTGTGTGAAGGTTTGTTGAATCTCCTGCTTTGCTTCTGCATAAATCCACAGTTACCATCTGGACTTGCGACAAAAAAGTTGACAAGACTCCATGAAATACCAAACACATTAACTATCCTGTTTGGACAGCCAAGTATCAGTTAATGATGGATGATGCTACTGCTTCTACTGCCAGTCATAATAAGCAGAGTCACTGGGTTAGAATCAAAACCTAAAAATAACACCAGGAAGTGACACTGATCATTGGCATAATGACATAAAGAAACACATGGAAGGGAGAAAGGGGGAAAGAGAAGGAGTGAAAACTATCCCAGCTGAAAATACAAACTGTCATGGTGAGTCATGCGTACCGTGTTGAACCACATCACCCTGAGGATCCAGATGGTGAGGGCGAAGTTGACCACCAGGATGATGATGAGCAGCAGGACGAACAGGTAGAGGCAGCGCTTCCTCCAGCCATAGATGCCGATCTTGTAGACGTGGTCGGGCACCAGCCTGGGCGCGCTGCTGCCCTGGGTGGTGGTGACATACTGCTCCCGCACCATCTGCCGGCTGGAGACAGGTACACAGGCAGCAGAAACAGGTGTTAAGAAGGAAAATAAACACACACAGACATTATTCTGGCATGGCATGCCACAGTCAGACAGAGTCAGTGGTAGATTGTCAGGGAAAACAGCATGGAGAGCAACTATATTTGGTCAAAGCAAAAGAACATATTATTTTGAAGTTTGTGTGTCTACCTGACAACATGGAAGTCCACCATCATCTCTCTTAACTTTTTGGTTTTTGGTCTCTACCAACTCTTGAAGGAACTATCTGACTCTTCAGCTGCTAAATACTCTACTGTGTTCATCAGCTAGCCAACAGTGCCTGTTTCCTCTTTGGTACTGAGCAGATAGTGTACAGTTTTTAGAGTACTTCATGCCAAAAAAAGAAAACTGAACCAAAATTGTTATATTGCTAGCCCTTAAACCAAAGGTATTGTCTGAAAGATAAAAGATAAATCTCCACAGAGCTGAGGGGAACTGCAAAGACGGGTTATAATGGTGTGCAACCTCTTTCACTCTTTGTTAATATAAAAACATTGAATATAGCATGTAAGTACATCTGCAATCATAGTATCCAGTAACATATGTGCTTATTGCGGTTTTATTTCCTCCACACACTAGTTGCCAATTCAGGAGACCAACTTTTTCTTTCCATTTAGCTTACTTTTTATATAGAAAGTTATATACTGTGGAAAATACATGTCCTATATTTTTTCCAGGTCTTTGTAGGAGAACCATTTCATACATTTGTTGCCATTTTCAAAACCAACATGAAGGTAGGTTTTAAGGAGGTTTTAAAAAAGAATACAGACAATGAAATATCAATATCTTGAATCAATATAATATTGTGATAAAAACATATCTTCCCTATGGGTTTACTCTCTGAATTAAGTTGTCAGGATGATTTCCATCTATAACAAACAGCTTTGACACATCCTGTAATATCTGAAGTCACTGTGTTCAGTTTGAATATTTTTTTCAAGCCTTTAAGTTTAGTTGTATACATACACACTACCTAATTGCACCTATGTATGCACGCAATGCTTTGGTCATACAATACATCATTCATGAGCCCAAAGCGCGTGCATAGACCCAGTGGATATCTGGCTCACTGCGCCAATGGAAAACTTGATGGTATTTCCAGCAGTTTTTCAAAAAGGAAAATTCCACTTATTACAGAGCCTAGGCGGAACTTTATGGCTATACAGCAACAGTCACGCTATCAGTGACAAAAAACCAAGGAGATGAATGTCAGCATATTTCAAAGTACAGTAGTCTTCTATATTCAGTTCACGTGAGGGCAGACGGCACTCCAACTGCAGGACTGCGAGCCCCCCAGTCAGCACATTTGGACCATCTGACACAGTGACAATTGAATGAATTGAGTGAATTTCACAGCAACACAGGAATTGTGTGTTTGAGTATAGTGGAGCCAAGGACTGCAGAGAGAGGAGTGGTGCCACTCTCTATTGAATAATCTGAATTAATAACCAGATACAGGCTGCAGAGAAAACTGCTTTCACTGAGGACAAGGCCTGAAGAAAATGCTGTTGTTTGTAGATTATTATGAGTCAATAAAAACACCCAAAACGGGCAAAAACGACGACAGACTACAAGCAACAAACAGCTCTGAATCAGCATCAATACTTTCGATCAACTTTAAAGGAAAGGTTATCTGAAAAAAGACGTATTTAAGGTGACTCAGAAGTGTTTTCTGAAGCTGACAGGGCTCAGACTCAGCAAGGCTGATTTACATATAGGACAGATGTTGCGTCTTACTGCCGCAGTAAAGGCGTTTTCCATCATGTTAAAAGGAGCTACTTTTCAAACCAAAAAGTAATTCTTCTTTGACATTAACAGATGTTTGGCTGGGCACATCCTCCCGCTGCGACTCCCATGTGGCGATGATGATACAAGCAGCAATGGGCTGGCAGACTGCATACCGTGACATACTATATGTACTAACTCAAATAAGTTGTCTTTCTGTAAATAATGAAGTAAATATCATTCCGCCCTCACAGCAAGGGGTGATGAATAAAGGCACACACGCTTGCTGCTGGGGTCTGAGCTTTCTGAGGTGCAGGAGGAGATGTTTTCAGAGAGACGATAATAAAGGCCTATAGTCTCCATGGCTCGTTTCTTGCTGTTTGCAGTAAACACAGGGAGGAGACGTGTTGGCATAAAGGCTGAGAGTATTTCTATGACCAAAGCTGCCTCTCTGCAGGACCTGTCACATGGCCTGCAAGCCCAGCTGTGATGAATGGCCCTTATTTCACAACCAAACAAATGAATGTTGGCTGAAAAAAGAGGAAAAAATGACTTTGTGCTATTTCCAAGGGGAGAGGAGCGCCAAGGTTGATAAGGAGTATATGATGTGAAATGCTCGTTTTTTTTTTGCTCGTATCTCACCTCATTTCTATTTATTAATCGTAATTGTGAGAATAAGTCCTAATGACAAATTGAATCTCAGCAACTTTTTGCTGGAAGGTGTGTGCTACAACATGCCGTTGCTCAGCTAGTTTTATGATTCCTTTGGGTTTTATTTTTAGGTGTTTTTTTCAGGGGAATTTTTCCATTGAGGCTCAAAAAAGGATTACGATTAATCAGTGTCTGTTAAATTGACCGATTCCAATATCCCCAAACTATACCTATTAACAGCCACAGATCATTTGCGTGTTAGCATGTTGATCAGCCGAATCTTCACTTTGGGCAAATGAGGATGAAAGAGCTCTGGATTTGTTCATTATGATGTTAATGAAATTGATCTAACCCAGTCTAATTACGTTAAATGAAGGCATTAAGGGGCCTCCGTACTCCGGCAGCAGCCAGAGGAGGAAGCAGCTTTGAGGGTGGATCTTTAAAGGCGTTTTCCAGCTCCAGTTTCAGTGTTACCACCGGCCTTTCAGCCACAGACTGATCCTTCCATAGCAACCAAAATAAACACTCCCCGAACAGTCTCGCTGCTCAAGTGCCAGGAATGCTTAATTTATGGGACTATATGGTCGGAAACACAGTATGACCTTACAGACTATTTTTTTAAGCTTCCTGGTGATAGAAATCTAATTCTCAATCCAAAACTTTACAAATACGGATCCTACACCACAGGAGAGTCAACTAAATACAAGATTCAAAGGCATTGCAGACCTCTAATTCAGTCCCAAAGATGAAAAACACTTGGTGCAGCACAGTTAGCAGGGCTATTTATCCTAGGGCACCCTCTCAATTAACCTTAAACAAGTGATGCTCCCTGCCTGGCTCTGTCTCTCTGTCTCTCCGACCTCTGGATGAGAGCGAGGGCCAGGCTGGACAGGCCCGCTGCTCGCCTAAAATCCACAGGGTCTGGCTGTAATTGAGAATCCAGGATTCCTTCTGAGCCCAGTCTCGACCTGACCGTTTACCAAAAGTTTCAGCAAGTTAGGAAAGCTCAAATTGTTTGGCTGGAGGACGTTCACAGAGGAATACTCAGAGGAGCGATCGAAAAGCTGAGCACAGGGCTGTAGTTTCTGTCTGTCTGTGTAGTGAGTGTCCGGCGTCATGTCTCCACTCTGCTGTGATGCCTTAACTTCTAAAAATAGGACACAGCATTGTGAGCTAAATTTAAAAAAGCAGCACAGGATACACACACACACACACACACACGACATAGGTATAACTAATGGAAAACAATAAGACACTGGAGTATTGTTCATAACACATAAAACATTAGTGAGGGTCTCTTTCATAAAGTTATTTTTGTATTCCAATATTGCTGGCCATGTATGGTAAAACTGCCGACAGCTGGCAGCCAGAAAACACTTTTTCCAAATCCCAAACTGCTTCTGTGAGGACTACAAAGTAATCACAGCACAACATGAGTCACAAAGAAAGAAAGAAAGAAAAGAATAAATTGTACAGTGGGTCAAAGGTTGCCATAACAGAACACTTAACCATTACCTTGAGAGGAAGTTATGAGACAAACAACATGATTATTTCTGAAAGAAAAGGCAGAGCACTCACCGTTGTGTGTTGAGGAACAGCCGTCCTCTTTCCTACGCAACAGTAAGCAGAGCTCGGGCTGGTACGAGCAGCTTGAGAAGCAGCAGCGCTTGAGCTCCTCACACGTCTGTCAGCCACTCAACAGCTGCGAGCCATAAATCCAGCTCTGGAAGTGCCCTGACCAATCACCACGAGGCGGCGCTCCCACTTGCCTGCATACCCCACTCTGACTCTTTGAGCCTTCCTGCAGACATTTGAATATCATCAGTGTTTTATCTGAGAGAGAGAGAGAGACTTCCCAAGTCTTGGTCCTCGTTCTGCTGCCCGCGCCCCGCCGCGCAGCGCCTCGCCGCCGCCAGAGGCGCCGGGGCGGCAAGGAGGGGCCAGTTAGTAAGTCAGAGTGGCAGAGGAGACAGGCAGCAAACACAGCGTATTAATAGACGGTGGGGGGGGTCAATTGTTGAAATTGTTTGGAGTCACGGTTTTGAATTATTCCAATCACAAAATACACCTTTGATAACTTTACTTTAGGTAAACAAATATGAATAGCTTAAGGTCATCCTTCAATATTACTAAAATACAGGTGATTCGTACTATTATTAAGTATTAAATTAGTCCTGACAAAAATGAGTCAAATTATGGTTAACTAATATTTACATGCACATATTTATGCTGTTTAAGATTTGAAAAAGACTGTACCTCACCAGGGGCTTGATACACCCGTCGATGAGCAGCAGCTTTAACAGTCCTGGAGCTACTTGATAACCTTGGTGACTCACCTCCGTGTGCTCAAACAGAAGCTGTAAAAACAGAATTAAAGGAGAATTATGACTCTTTAAGTACTTGCAGGACTTTTGGATATTTTTAACCTTTCTAACATTTTTTAACAATAAGTAACTTCTGAAGGTGAACCAAAACCATCAAATGTCCCAGTAAGACATGGCAGTGATCCAGCACGCACTTACTAATATTATTACTTAGACCTGTGTTTTCTCTACTGCACAAAAATAGGAAAAAACAAAAATTTGGTGTTCAAACTCTTTACGTACTTGCTGGACTTTGACTGTAATTAGATGCACCCCAGCTCTCTATTGCGTTTGGTTGAGCCCAGGGGCTTCATGACGGTTTTGAATGTTATGAAATGGAATACAAATGTCAAGGCACATCCATGGTAGCTTACAGTGATTGGAATTGTTGTGCCTAATTACACCTAATTAGGATTGTGTGGGTGTGCATGCACTGAGCTTGATTAATGTCTCCATGACTCTATTGTTAGCTTTGTTGCACCTGTTGGGGTGAACCAAATTACACCTTGAAGGTATAGTCACATTACACTTCTGATATATTGTATGAATATTCACTCCCCTCCTACCAACTGAAGTCCATACAAGAGACACATTTAAGCATATGTTTCAGTGGTCTCAGTTTGGTTCTGGTAGCCCAGAAGGGACAAACCAAACACTGGCTTTAGATAGGGGCTTTTTTTTGATGAGTTTCACAGCCACCATAGTTTCTCCTGCACACTTCACAGCTTGTCCTCATTCCCAGGTTTGCCAAATACAAATGTGAACCGCGTTCACTTAATTGCAACCTGCGATCCCTTAATCTAGCCCTTTAATTAAAAATAAATCCTGCAGTGTCATCCCCTTGCTTCGTACAATAGCACACCAGACTATAAACTGGTGGTATGGGTGTGTGTAGTTTGTGTTTGCTCTGCTCAGTTACCCACCATGTCATCATATCCTTTTTCTGAGCCGAGTGCAGCATTGAACTGAAGGTAAATGTGACCGTACCTTTACATGGAGACTAATGACCTCAGAAAATTCTTAGCATAGCACCACCCACCTTCAACCTGTGCAGGAGGCTAATCAGATGTTATAACTGAAAACACCAGTGGGTGTAAAGTGCCTTTAAAGGTCCAGCGTCCAGAAATGGAATATAATACACATACAGAAACTATGTTTTCATCACCAGAAAATTGTTGTTTTTGTTACTTGAAAATTAGGCCTTTATATCTACAGATGCTTGGGGACACAATCTTTTTTTTCTCTGATTGGCTTACCCTAACATTTTTAGCCTGATCCTAACCACTCTCACTCCTTGTGGCCATACCAATGATGGCAACAAATACTAGCCAATCAGTGGTAGAATAAGGTGGGTCATGACTTAGCCAATCAGGGAAAATACATTTTGCCTAATTTCTGCATTGCAATCAGCAACCACATCGCTATCTGTCACTAAATGCTACACACTGGACCTTTAAATGTGAAATAATTGAGGAATTCACAATGCCAGCACGAAATTACTGATTACTGTTATTTCATTATAAAAGTCCGACATGATTGCAAACACTGATTGCACTACCCTTTTTGCATTCACAGTATAAAAGATTAAAGCGATAAAGGAAGCACTTTTAGCGATCCCCAGAAAACACAGACTTATAAAGAATTCAGTTAGGCTGATGGGAAAAACTACAAGAAATACTCAAATACATGATGGTCTGTTAAAAAAGCCACTAGTGCGAAGTGTCGGTACGAAGTCATCTGCATTGAAAAACAGGCAGTAAGTGTCTTTTTGTTCTCACAGGCAGATGCTGGAGGAGTGGACAGGCGGTGCATCTGTCAGTGGCGTGCATCCTGCAGTTTGTTGTGCTGTTGCTGCTCGAGGTGATGCTGTGCAGTGAAAAAGAGACATCTGACAGCATCCATCACAAGACTACTGTGTCTTTCATGCCCCGAGCAAACATCTGACAGTGGAGACGGCTTTATTCCATGCTATTTCTTATCAATATCTCATAACCTTTCACTGCCTGTGGCTTTAAACAGACAAATGGTTAAGATTTTGCACAAAGTTAGAAATGATCCATTCTGTACTAAAAACAAGATCAGTAGAGTCAGAGTGTCCCTTTCAATTTATTGCATGACAACACTAGGTACATGGTGTAGGTGCAGAACTGAGGACTATCATTACCAAGGACACTGATAATAACTGAACACAACACGGGCGCTAAATGAGGTGTGAACGCTGCCAGCAGCACAGGCTCTCATCTCAAGTGTGCTGCTTTGAACAGAGTAATGCCTGGAAAGCTTTCAATGTCTCTGATGTTAAGTCAAAATACCTCAAATCAATCCGCGCAGTTAATGTTCAACGTTAACAAGAAAGAGGATGGATTCCAACCCACAAAAAAAATAAAAATAAATTGAGGTACACACCCTATCTAAAATGTTTTTCTTCTTGTTCATAGTTGGATGAGCTTCAGTGTGCAGAATGATGCATGTACACAAACATCTTGTGTCCAGCAGGAAAACAGAAATGAGCCAAATTTGCATATTCATATAGTTTTGAATTTTGAAAGAGGTAACATTTTTATTTTAAGAAGTTAGTGTTGAAGTTACTTTAACTTTTCCTCCAGAAAACAAGATATCAGGCTCACATTGTTCCAAGTGACTGTTGTCATGTCATGTCTTAATACATTAGAGGGGATCCTTAAAAATAAGACCAATGCATTTAATTTTTCAACGACTGTTTTCCTTTATGGACAGTGTTTCCCTACACGTACATCAGGAGCACCTGCTTTGTGTTGTAGTTTTATAGTATTTTTTGGCAGCATCAGTGTCAAGAGCATTTTTGTAGAGAAGAAAGATTATGACTGCCCATTGGGACATGTGTTGTCATCAACTGATCCCGACTTTAAACTGCATTAACCAGACATGGGGCCAGTTCCACTCAAAACCAGTAACCTGGTCTAGTGCGTGCTGTCATTTCTACTGAACATACAGATTTTCAGATACCACAAATCTGAAGGAACAGGAACTAAATAAAGCGCAGCCTGCTTGGTGCTGCTCCATTAAACAGCAGAACACTTCAGTATAATTATTTCACCTGCTAAAATAATTGTACATTATTTCAGATTCTGTATGTGCAAATAAAAAAAAAGTGTGCCATTATTTTAACTCTGAGTAACCTGTAGTTTGTTGCTTTACTTTCAAACATTTCCATGTTTTGCAAGGTAGGTCCAGAGTCGTTTCATTTTCCCGGCTGTAACTTATGATAGACATATACCATACATGGTTATACAAACCAAGTAAACCATCAGGTAAACCAGTCACTGACATGATGACCAATAAACAAACACACAGTTGAGGGTTTGTCTTTACAATTTTTATTCACCTTTCATTACAAACAGCTCAACAAGAGGAAGCAAACAGGAGAACCTGCAAGAGAAAAAGGCAGCAGGTCAGTGGACGCAGCTCAAGAATGAGCCAAAGATCAGATGTAAGCAGCTGTAACGGCTCTGCTGCTCTACCTGATTATGCTTTCTCTGCGGCCGCCTCCTCGTCTCCTCCCTTGGTGTTACGTGTGTAAATCAGCTGTGCTCTGTGTTTGGACACCAGTTTGATCATGCCTGGAAGACAAAACAGGACCATGTTCTGTCAGCACATTCTCATGTTCACCATTTTCCTATTGTAGTTCTGCACTGCAGCTCACTTGACAGCAGATGGGTGCAACAGATCATTTCACCGAGTTAACAGAGACATTTGTCATCATTATGATAAGATAAAGTAAGCACTGGCAATATACGTATTACAGCTCTGCATTCAATGCAGCCATTGCATCTAGAAAGAATATCAGTATATAATCAGTATAACCACAACGTTTAGAAGTGAAGGCAAAAATTAAGTTGCAGCTTAAGAACTAATTATTTTTGGCACCAGTAATTATCCCATACAACTCATTTATTACAGGTGGCAGGTTTCATAGATAAAGACACGGAAACAAGGTCCTCCATTAGATGAGATTAGATCTGGTGGGATGCAACAAAGTAGTGCATTATTAAAACGTGTGGAAACAGTATTTGTTGTACCCTTGCTTTCATCTGGCAGTTTGAACCTGGGATGTTTTGGAGAGGAGACTAAATATTTATAAAGAAATTACAAAAACAATGTTGCAGCTTTGATTAGTGATGTAGCAGTCATCATGTTGCATAGTAACCATGCAAATCACTGTCAGTGAAACTACTGATGGAACGGCTACAAAAACACTCTGGCGTGGACGTGGAGTGTGTAAGCGTTTATACATCAACAGGCAGTGTTTGATGAACGCAGGGTTACACTGACCGGGTGAGCTTAATGCTGCTTTAGAACACAATGTGCTAGATGGCAAAACATGTTATTATGTTGGAGTTCCACCCCTTCTGCAACACATGTATTCTGACAGGTGAAATTACTCAGACCACAGGAAATATTCTGCTCTGCTCCAAATTTAAATGGACTTTTGCCTGGATCCACACTTTTAAAATGATCAAACATTTGTAAACAAAGTCAAATTTACTAAAATTCCTCAGATAACTTTGTGCTGGATCAACAATCCACCCAATTCTGCCTGGACACGAATGAGACTTGCGCAATAAAAAAAAAAAGGGCTAAACTGCAGGTGTATCACGTTCTTCACGTGTTAACACCGCAGATTATCAAGGATCTTGAAGTTGTCGCGTATAATAGTAAGTATACTGAAAATGTAACATACACAATCAGAAAGTGTGTGGGAGCCTCGAGTCAAGTCCTACTGAAACAACCCACCATGAGGATGTCCTCATATTCTAATGCATTCAAAGTTAACCCTATTTGATTTAGACGCAGCATTTTGTCCGACCTAGTGTTCACCCTTTGGGGCTACGGGCAGGTGAATTCACCTTTGGCGAGCAGTTCCTGGAGCGCGTTCCTGGCCAGGGAGCCACGGATCTTCAGCCTCTCGGACACAACTGCGGGGGTGATGAGCTTGTAGTTGGGCACCTCTTTGTACAACTTTTCGTAGGTTGCCTTGTCGAAGAGCACCAGGTTGTTGAGCTTATCCCTCACTTTTCCCTTGGACCACTTCTGCTCAGAATCAAAGACAAACGTCGTTCAGGTGAGGAGGAAAGCTCTACAGTGGACCTAGTCAACAATTATTCAGAAACCGCGTCACATGTGAAGGGTTAATTCTGGATGAGTATCACCCGCTGCATACCTTCTTCTTGGCTTTGCCTCCAGATTTGTTGACTGGGTCCTTGTCCTTTTTGGACTTCCCAGTGTCCTTCTTCTTGTCTTGCTTGGGAGGCTGAAAACAGAAGACGACAAATTATAATCCTCCACACTCAGGGGCAATGTGTGCTTCAATGTCCGTGTGTTCAAGTCTAGATACGTTTCTTCAGTAAGGTAATGGATAGACAGTGAGCAGCCGGAGGTTAACTCTGCTAGCCGGCATGGGATGGCCTTGTCAGTGTCTCCACCGAGCCTTTCTAGTCCAACAATTAGCATCGTAACAATACGTGAACCATGTACTAGTTTTTAGTGTTAGCGTCGTGTGTACATTTAAAATAGACATGTATCACTTAAGAGGAGTTGTGAGTGACAACGTTGTTGGGCTAATTTTCAGCAAAGACAGTGTAGCACGAAAGCATGGTGGAATTAGCAGACTAGCTAGCGGACTAGCACGCCGCTAAAGGAGTAAAAAGTAACAACAGTTCGCTTCATTCACAAACTCTTATCGCGGGGAAGGAAGGCACACTGCCGTCACCCCTCAGTCCGACTTATTAGAAGTCTAAATGAGTTGCAGAAACACGGCCATTTATTCATTAGTCTCGATAAAACGTGTGATAACTGTCCTCACCATGTTTCCTCGTCAAGATGTCGGAGCGAAAGGAAGTTCACCCGTGCAAGAGCCCCTTAGACAACCTGTATATGCGGAAATGGAAGAGGGGCTTATGGGAAATTGAGTTTTTAACGTGTTTTCTTTTTTTAAACTCGATTTTGATCATCGTTATTGGCTCACCAAACTGCTGCGCGCTTACACCGCTCGTTATGAGATTAACAGGGCGATAAAAGTGACTCAAAGACACTCAAACTAGCAAAGTATGAGCTCATTTATATTTGCTCCGGTCTTTTGACGCGTCCGTGTCACATGACGCTGCTGTCAGCTGGGCAGGACGTCGCCAAGATGGTGATCTTCAGTGTGTATGTGGTGAACAAGGCTGGAGGTTTAATCTACCAATATGACAACTACGTCCCGAGAGCGGAGGCCGAGAAGACCTTCAGTTATCCTTTAGACCTGGTGCTCAAGCATCACGATGAAAAGGTGGTCGTATCGTTTGGACAGCGGGACGGAATCAGAGGTAACGACGTACCGAATATCGTTAGCTACCTATCGATAGCTCGTTGCTCGATAACCTAGTTAGCTGGGAGTGTTTAACGATATTTAAGACGTAAAACCTGAACAACTCAGGCGATTCTAAACGTGTAATTACACTCGTTTGTGCAGTTTCCTGTGGCCTGGCTAACAGGAAACTACTGTGTCTGCATGATTACATTAAAAGTGGTCTTCATTGTAACGTTACAGGGGGGCTGTTCCACCATTAAGGCTGACTTTAAACTGTATTGTGTGAGACTTAAGAGCCCGTGTTGTCGTTCTCCAGTGGGCCATGCGGTGCTGTCCATCAATGGAGTTGATGTCATTGGCAAAAACACCGCAGACGGAAAGGACACCCTTGAATATTTAAAGGACCCCGCAAATTACCCAGTGTCTATTCGCTTTGGACGGGCACGCCTGAGCTCCAATGAGAAGCTGATGCTGGCCTCTATGTTCCACTCGTAAGTCCCATCAATGGTCACATCCATGTTTCACATTGACACCAGTCATCCAGAGGAGCCAGGTTCCTTCTGTAGTGATCTAACTGAGCTACAGTACTCCGGTAGTTTGGGCACCAATCAGCCTCAGTTGATCCTTACCTCAGGCATTAAACTGCTCTGTGTGTTTCTCTCTAGGTTGTTTGCTATAGGATCACAGCTGTCCCCTGAAGTTGGCAGTTCAGGGATCGAGATGCTAGAAACAGACGTCTTCAAGCTCCACTGCTTCCAGACTCTGACAGGTCAGTGGTGTGAGTGCTGCTGTGCATGAAAGCAGAGGCAGTGATATCCAGTCCCAATGGCTCATTAATAATCCACCCACTCTGTAGCATCCTTATAAAAGGAGCACTCAACAGGCCTCATTAGCTTATTGTACGTCTTTCTCACTGCTTGTTCCATGTCCGTTCTTTCAGGGATAAAGTTTATCGTGCTGGCGGACCCTCGTCAATCTGGTATTGACGCGCTATTGAGGAAGATTTATGAGATCTATTCAGATTTTGCCCTCAAGAATCCCTTTTATTCTCTGGAGATGCCAATCAGGTAATAGAGAGGATCAGGATGATGCTGTCTTGGTACATATCAACAACACCCACACATTCACTTACTTACTTGTGTTTTCTGACACTGTGTGTGTTTTGTTTTCTGATTTTCAGGTGTGAACTCTTTGATCAGAACCTGAAGAGTTCTCTGGAGATCGCAGAGAAAGCTGGCAACTTTGGAGCAGGATCTTGAACTAGATAGGACTATACAGAGCGTGCTGTAACTTCTGACCTTAACAGATTCACAGACTTCATATGTCTTAAGTTCAGTTGGTTGAATTTCATTGTTTCTTTTCCCCAGTTGGTGTCAAACTGGCAATTAACACATTGTAAATACATCATCTTTTGTAAATACTTGAAGATTAAATGACATGCTGTATGTGAACGTTTCAAAACATTTGTTTTTGGCTGCATATATATTGAATTACTAACTATTCTAACTGTTGTCTACTGGGCATTGAGCAAGTGACTGAAACAACAAAGTTAATTTATTCAAGCCTTTGACTTTTCTCACAAGACCACACACTTTCTACAAAAAATGATCATTGTGTAAGTTTTGTAATTTCACTACAGACTTGTTTTTTAACACAGATATCGTATAATATGTATATATTGTATAATATAAAATATACCGGTTTCTAAACCAGGTTTAGTTGTGTGCTCTCAGTGTTGAAATACTTAATCGGCCTTGGAAGAGAAAACCTTTCTCTAGTTGTGTTTATGCCACATTTCATTATATGACCTACACAATGTTCCCTTCTTAAGTTACTGATGTGTTTACAAATATCGTATGTAGAAAAGGACCTTTCAAAACAGGCTTTTTAGGAAAAAGTGCTTAACTTCTCAGAGTTTCCTGTTAGACTGACAGAGAAAATACTATGGTATTAAAAAAAATCAAGTAAGAAAAATATGACAATACAATGATGGCTCAAAGTATCCAGTTGTCCTCTTGGAGCAGAGGAATAGGTGCAATGATGTTTTAGTCTGCCTTCTTGGAGACGTGACCCATCTTGGTTCGGATGTTGCGCAGCAGGAAGAATCCAATAGTGGTGATGCCACAGGTGACCTCTGCTACCCAGAATGCCGCTTCCCAGCCGTGGTGCTTGGCGATGGTGCTGAAGGGAAGTCCAGACAGGAAGCCACCAACTGAGCAGAACAAAAACTTCACTTAGAGAATATACAAAGTGTAGCACATTCAGTCCACTCAGTTAATCAAGTGTCAACCTGCTACACCAAATATAAGACAATAAGATACAGTTGATGCACAGTTGATGCACAATTCTGAAATCAGTCAACTTACTGTTGGCCATCAGGGCCACAATGGCATGTGACGTCCCACAGTAGTTGGATGGGGCACTCTCATTGGCTATAACGCCAAACAATGCTATCGGTCCATAAGAGGAGAAACCAAAAGCAGCACCCAGTATGAGTATCCACACCTGAATGAACAAATGAAAGATACAGCCATGAGTCTGTGCTGAAGAATCAGTCGATCATTTTTGTTCATGGGGATGTCTGTGTTAGAGCAGATACCTTTGAGCTGTCGGGAGTAACTGTGACTCTGAACAGGTACATGGACACAGACATTCCAACCATCATGCAGATCAGGACAAAGTGGCGGGGATTGCCATAGATTCTCATACCTTGCTGTACAAAAAAGGAAATAAATAAAGACAGGTGGGTTTTGCAGAATTTCTATTGTTGCCAAATTCCATTCAGTCATGAAAAAGAGACCAAAAGCAGAGAAAATGTATCATAACCTTTAAGGCTGTGAGACATCTGAGACTTGGAATGTGAAATTCAATATTGACAGCGAAAATGTCAACCTTTTCACAGATGAATAATGTGTTGGTTGGTTATCATGTTGTATATCAAGTTGTACTTCTGTAATATGCACTACTTCCATAAAGGTTACGGTGCAAACAGTACCACTGCATATTGTATAATCAAAGCTGTATGACAAAGAGTATCTAAGATCATTCAGATGTTTACTGTATGTAAACTCACTTTGGCCACAGCCTTATCAGAGAGGAAACCTGCTGCGAGACTGCCCAACAGGCCTCCCACCTCCAGGGCACTCATGTATGAGCTACCTATGGAGAAGAACACAATGATTCACTACAAATAATAAGCTAATGAAACTTAACGCGTAACATATTTCTCAACAGAACCTGGAAGTATCGACTCTATCCCGCTTCCATACCCATGAGTGTAGACTGGCCCTTGTCCTGAATGAGAAACAGCTGGCCCCAGTCGGTGCACGCCGTCTTCACCCCAAACACCACCAGGTAGGACACAGACAGCAGCCACAGGTAGGGTGACAGCAGGAACTCTGACAGGGTGCTCTCATCACTGGAGGATCCTGAACAGGAAGCAAGCAGAAGACTGAGTATTATTTGCGAATCTGGTGTTTTTGTGTGCAGCTGAAACATTACCTTCAACACGACACAGTGGGTGTAACATAACCGAGGAGGGGGTGGGAGAGATCTCTGCTTCTAATCAGATTAATGCATAAAACATCTCTTCTCCATACATTTCTCACAATGCCTGTGCGTGAGCTAGACACAGCTCACACAAGTCCAGCAACCTTTAGTCACAACACAGGAGGCACATGCTGAATGAAAACACACACACACAGCTGGAAAATTTACAGTTATGTGTCAAATGAGTATTGCTTATGTTTACATAAATAACTAATTCAGTCAGTGAATTCTCACCGCCTTTGCTCTTCTTGGCTGCCGCCTCTATATTGGGCAGCCCCACGTCCTTTGGTTCATTCTTGATGAGCAGCAGACAGACAAAGGAGAACGCCACGCAAATCATTCCAGATACTGACAGTATCGTCCTCCAGCTGTAAGTCTGGGCCAGCACCGTGGCAATGATGGGGCCAAGGCTGCCAGCCAGGTTCATGCTGCAGGAGAGAATTGCCCACCATGTCCCGAACTGAGAGGGCTCAAACCACTGGCAGCAGAGAAAAGGAAATAATGACATGAAATTATTACAGGAGTTGAGAGGTAAAAACATTATACACAATAGACCTACATCTCAGCATTTAATTCCCTTCTGGGAGGAAATGTAAAGTAAATTGTCTAATAGAACAATGACCAAGTGTCAGGGACAAGATAACACTGAATTTGTCAAAAAAGAAGCCTATTAGGTATATGTGTCCATATTTTATATTTAACATTGTAACATTGAAGACAGAAAATGTAATAACACGCATCTGTAGAATTCCCCTCCGGTCCAATATAGAAGAAATACTTGGTCAGGAAAACTGAATTATTACCAATTTAACAAAGGAGCAAGGAACAACAACACATTTCTTTCCTTAATCAAAAATCTAACTTTTAATAATTCCACATTTTGTTAAATTTAACATTAGAACAACACAGGTTTTCTGCAGTCTTCCTGATTCTAATATTGCAGTAGTTTCTGGAGTACACTATAAACAATGTGGTGATATGTTTATGTTTTAACTTGTGTATTGTGTGTCTGATTGTGTTCCTGCCTATAAGTGAACCCAGTTCATACTACATGTTCCTGGACAATTAAACAGTGTATTTTGGTGCCTGTTTGTTTTGTTCTTAATAACAGGGGATCAGATATGAGTATATTGCAGCACTGATATACTGGCCTATGGCTTAAGTACCTTGCGCAACACCCTGCCGCAGGGAGGCCAGCCGAGGCCCTGGCCCAGACCGTTGAGAAACCACAGGGCAGAGAAGACAGCGACAGTGGAGGACCAGGAGAAGACCACATTGATGCCTCCCACCATGCACAGGCCAATGGAGAAGAGCCAGCGGGCGCTGATCTGGTCCGAAAGAACGCCACTGATGAACTTACTGATAGCGTAGGCCAAAGACTGGCTGCTGGTGATCATGCCTGAACAAAAGGAGCAGGGCAGGAGAAGAGGAATGTACACAGAGCAGATTACATATATAGCAAGATTTCCTGCTCCTAAATATCTCTGACATACACGGCATTAATGGCAAAACATGATAATCAAGCATAAAGTCGAAGGAAAATCAACAGTGTCATACCCAGGTCATCCTTATCCAGCTCAATTTCTTGCATTAGCGAAGGCATCACAAAGGAGAATGTCTTCCTGTTAAAGTAGTACAGCGTGTAGCCGACAAACATGGCCAGAAATATAGTGCCCCGGTAGTATCCATAACTTGCTGTAGCCATGGTTGCAGATTTAGTCCTACAGAAAAGGCAAAAAGTGGAAGAACAGAGGACAGATCCAGAGGAGGGTAGCAAGCTCCTGCTGCCTGACAGACGTCTGCTGCCTGTGACAGTGAACTTTGCTTCAGGATCCACTGTACAGAAGCAGCTGCTTACACGCGGAGAGGTGTCTGCAATCTGCTGGGGAGGTTAATGGTCAACTTCTCTGCCCTGAAACTGATTTAATCTGGATTGTTACCATGTGCTGCAGGCCGGCCCGACGGGGGTTGGAAAAGGCATTTATCAATCAGGTAGTGACATAAACAATGTATAGGATCAGTTTTCTTTAAGCACCTATTTATAAAAAGAGCTTGAACAGTGACCTTGCTGTTCTTTTCATCTGTTGCTGTTTGCCCATCTGATTGAGGAGGTTAATGAATTACTGGGGAGTCCAATAGTCACTGCAGACCAGGGGGAGGCTCCTGTGTGAACTGTGGTGATCCTCAACAGCCAAAGATCTATGAGACAGAAAGAGTGTGTACAAAATGAGTGCAAAGCTGCAAAAGAGAGATTACACAGTCATTGTGGGCAACATCTGAATAAGGCATGAAGTATAACCGCACACATGACTACAAAAGCCATTTATCTCAGTTAAGTTCAAAAGTTCAAGTAAAGCTGGAACCTTACAATTATAACCAGCCATACTTTAAGCAGGCCAAGTTAGTGAGTACATTGTGAGGCGTGTATATTGTACATAAACAGACTTCAGTGGAAGCAAACCACTTTGATACCTCTGTATGTCCAACTCCTGGTTCCTGTGTCCACCTCACAGCTGTGTGCGTGTTGTTCGCAACATGAAGTCGCCTCAGTTGTCATTGCAGAGCGGCTCATGTCAGGCTGCAGAGGATGTTTCCGCATCATGTGGATGAACTGGCGCCGCCCAGACACACACACACACACACACACACACAACACACCGTGTTTAGGCAACAGTGACGGCTTTTCTGTGAAATAAACTTGATAAATAAGTGAATTGTGAAATAAATAGATACATATAAATAGCACTAATGTTTATTTAGCGTTAACCTGCAATTTAGTATTTGGTGTAAGTGTTAAAACTGTCGCATAATCAATGTGTGTGTGTATTATTGAGGAAGCACTAATATGAGTGTATTTATTGTTTTTGCTGTTGCATATAAATGTATATTAGTAAAGTCCCGCCTCTGACTCGTTGCCTTTTGGTATCTACGTTAGTTCAGTTAGTTGTAGGTTGTAACTAACATTAGATAGAAGTTCATTCATTGTCACACAAACAGGAACATGATAGCCCCTCCTCCTAGTTTAGCTGTCGCGTTTGTTCCCATGGCAACAGATAACAAACATTTCCACACGCTCGACGGATGTCGCAAAACTGTCCAGTTTAAGAGTTAACCAGACACATTTATACATAAAACGTTTAGCTGTAGTGCTATCAGTCTTTTTAACCAATAACAAACCGACTCATCTTTTTAACCCAGCTGTTGGCTGTTAATTCATTCTCCGTTGCCTTGGACACCACTAACCAAAGACCATGGTAAGTTTGAGTTTGAAATAAGAAGCAATGCCGGGCCACTTTTAATGTAGCGACCTGCTAAACCCGGGCTACTGAGTCCAGCAGCTCGTTGTTTGTACTGACACATGCTGATGTTAATCCCTGTAGAGACCCGGGTCCAGCTCCAGGACCTCAAGGAGCAGCTCTCACACCGGCCGCTACCACAGGCTGGCCCCCACCTCTCAGGTGGACGAAACCCTGTTTGGGAGCCCAAAAGCGGTGAGTGAATGTGGTAGAGCCCAGCCTAGACAATAAAGAGTTTGTTAAATGTTTAATGTCTCAGATGTTGCTTTTTATGTGAAGATGAAACCATATTGTCATCTCTGTCTTGTTACTGCTGTTTACCCCCAGAAACAAATAAAACAAATGTGCTGCAGAGTTATTTCCTGGGTGTATGTATATATGAATATAGCTGTATTGTTTTATTTTATTTATTTCCTTTGTTGTTCTATGTATAAACGTAATGATCTTTCTCTTTGTGCAGCAGGAAGGAACTGCAAACCTTCATTTCATTATACAACGTTGTGCTGTACAGTAATAAACACATCCCATTGATAATGTCCTGGGCTTACAGCATCAGTGTAGGGCTATGGTGGTGTACCTAAGTAGTGTAATGTATTGTCCGGATGGAGAGATCACAAGCTTTGAGTGGGTTTGTGAGACGTTGATCACTAACTCCGTCCACGTGTGATCACAGTTAGACAAACGTGGAAATTCAGCCTCCAAAACCAAGAATCAGTCGCAGAAGAACCAGGGCGAAGAGACTGTTCAAATCATCACCAAAGACCTCATTCGCAATCTCAGGTAACAGTCACTGTCGGTTTGTCTGTGGCAGGGGGTCCGCAGGGCCTTTAAAAGCTTTATATCAAATAATCTGAATTCTAGGCCTTTGAAAGTCTTAAATATATATTATTGTAACATTAACATTACTTGAATACTGTTAACAACAGTCTCACTTTTAAATGTGTTTATGATAATAACATTTTATTGATCATGCTGTAACAACAACAAAACTAAACTAACATAGAATCAATATTTTCCTTGAAGCCCTCTGCTGTTTTTTGTGACAGTTTTGATGTAAAATAGGTCTTAAATATTATTATTATGGTCTTTTAAATTGAACCTGTTGAACCCTGCAGAAACTCTGGGTGGGTATAAAAACCATAATGCACATTTGAATAGATGGAAATGCATGTAGTTAATGTTAGTTTAAAAATAATATAAAGCATTATATTAGATTATAAACTTTATAACCAACCCCTATAATTCACAGTAGTATAACATAGAAATAAAATTAAAAAGTCACAGTATTGTAAAGGTGCAAGCAACCGTTTTGATTCATAATGCAGTACTGAATCCCATATTGCACATAGGACAAATGTACTATCTGTCATTATGCCAGGATCCCAATCCAGGATCCTTCAGGAGAGTCCATCATTCTACCATCGGCTGAGTTTGAGCGGATCGCCTCAGTGTCCCAGGTTCTCACCAAGGAGGAGAAGGAGGCCCTGAAGGAGGCGTATCAGAGGAAGAAAGAGGAGGAAATTGTATGAAACTTGACAAACTCCAATCAAAATGGCCCTTGAACTTGCAGACTTATTATAAGACAATAAACCCTCCCCTCTCTTTTTTTAATGTACCGCTAATCCTACAGAAAGCTAGAGAGGACAGGAAGCTTCAGATCTTTGAGGCAGACCTGTCCCGTAAGGAGAACCAGGCTCTGACCGAGCTGGAGCTAGAGGCCCGGAACCGTGCGCAACACTTGGTGGAGCGGGCCAGCGCATTAAGGATGGAGCAGGAGGAGGAGATAAAACAGCTCAACAAGGTAAGAAGTAGCTGTGGACAGGTGGACGACGAAAGATTAAAAAAGTGCCTAAAGGTGAACCCGTCAAATGATGGTGGTACTGCTGATTTTTTTTGTATATATCAATGATCATCAATGAATACTTTGTGTGTGTGTGTGTGTGTCTGTGTCTGTGTGTGTGTGTGTGGTCCCCCTCAGCTGATTCTGGGTGCTCAGTGTCAAGCCACACGAGATGCCCAGATCCAGGAGAAGAAACAGATCCATGTAGAGTTGTCAGAGGAGGAGAAGCGTCTGGACGCCATGATGGAGGTGGAGCGACGCAAGGCCTTGGAGACTGTGGAGAAGATTGATGAGCTGCGCAAACACCAGAGGATCAGGTGAAGAAAGCTTTACTGGGAAGTACACTCAAAATCATTCATGGAGTTGTGGCACCCTGCTAGCTCACCTGGTAGAGCTGGTGCTCTAGTACCAGTACCAGTCCATCCAGCAATTTGGATGAAGTTTGAGCAGATCATTTCCTGTGAATACTGCATAACACGACTGGTGAGCAGTAAAGGCACTGGGCTTCCAGTTTGTCATATTTATCGTGTGTGTGTTGCATGTTATATTCCAGTGGGATGCAGCTCATTTACGACCAGATCCAGAGACGTCTGGAAAACGAGAGACTGCAGGATGAGATGAAAGAGTATGAGAGACAGCAGATACGAGAGAACCAGGAGAAAATGAACCTGGAAGACCTCAAGGTGCAGACCATGCAGAGACAATGCACACAAACACACTGACAGGGTGACATACATGGCCAGAGGGATATGCAGCCACACACACATGCATTGGAGTCTGCATTCTCTCTGACTGGTTGTCTTCTTCCAGGCCCTGGAGAAGAAGAAGGAAGAGCAAAAGCGTCTGCATGAGGAGGTCATGCGTATCAATGCAGAGACCGTGCGGGCCAAGGAGCGGAGGAGAGAGGAGGAGAAGCTGGCTGACATGAGAGATATGGAATACATCCGAAAGAAACTGGTCAGATAAAAAGCATTTTACTGCCATAGACGGTCCATGGTGTGGGTATGGAGTCCCACACAATTCAGTGAAATAACTGAGTGTTTTATGACCTCTGCAGGAGCGGGAGGCAGAATATGAAGCAGAGCAGAGACAAATCAAGAAGGAGAAGGAGCTGGAGATTGCCAGGCTGAGGGCTAGGCAGGAAAAAGCAAAAGACTACAAGGCAGAGCAGGTCAGGATTAAACCCACCAGCTGAGCACCGCCTTAAAGGTCCAGTCTGTAGAATTTAGTGGCATCTGGTGGTGTAGTTGCAGATCGCAGCTCCCTTGCTCCACCCTCCTTTTCCAAGTGAAAAGAAAAAAACTACACTGGCTGCAAAACTTAAATGCCCATATCTAGAGCCAGTGGTTGGTTTGTCCGTTCTGGGCCACTGTAGAAACATGGCTGTTCAACATGAGTCTGTGAGCTCGTAAAGAAAGTGCTTCTTATTTTTAGGTGATTATACACTAATGACACTAACATACCTATGAATAATATATTCAACTTCTGCCAATAGATCCTCCTAAATGTTACACACTGGACCTTTTAAGATGGCACCTGCTGCATTTCACCCTTTAACACCCTGTAACTCTCTAATCACTTACCTTTCATACAGATTGATGGGAATGAAAGGATTCAGTATGTCCAAATTTAGTGTGTTTGTGTGTGTTTGCATTTGGAAGGATGAGCTCCGTGCTCAGAGGAATCAAGAGAGTATAAATAGAGAATGGAGGAGAAAGGAAAAAGAGCTGGCCTCAAAGAAAGGGCAGGAGGAAGCGATGCTGAGGGCGGCTCGCTTGGAGCAGGTTCAGTGCAAAGAGCACTTCCTGTCGATCGAGGCTGGCCGGGAGAAGGCAGAGTTTGAAAGAGTGCTGAAGTAAGAAACTTTAGTTTTTTCTGAACTCATTCTCACATCATCAAATCACATTACTTTAAGATGAGACATTAACATTTGTTTCCATTTATTCAGCTATACCATGATATTAATGTTAGTTTCCCTGCCCTTTCTACCTTTCTCCACACAGGGCGCAACAGGAAGCCATCATCAAACATAAGGAGGAGGAAGAGCAACGGCGTCAGAAAGCGCTCCGCCATGCAGACGCCATCCGACGTCAGGTGAAGGACTGTGAGCTCTCAGCCATTACTAATCGCAGACAGACCTTTGAGGAGGCTGATCGGTTGATCGAGGAAGCCCGGCAGAGGCGTATGCGCCTCGATGAGATCAAACAGAAGAAGCTGAAAGAGCTCAAGTAAGTACAAGGCATGTTAATGGTTAATGACATATTGTAAATGTGTGTGTATGCTGAATGAACCTGACGTGTTTGCCAATGTGCAGGGCCACGGGACTCCCTGAAAAATACTGCGGTGAAGTGGAAAGGAAGGCCCGGGCCTACTTACTCTGATTCACTCACGACTGGATCCCAAACGGCGCGAATCCACAATTTACTCCTTTAAGGAAAAACACGTTTCTAGTATTAATGTAACTTGATATAAACGCGTACCAATAAAGGTTTTTATTGCACTTTCATCACTGTTTTATGAGCATTTAATCATGTTTTATTAGTTGATGGTGTTTTAGGAAACTAAAGTGACTTTTTGAGACATTACTACTTCCTCTCACACACACACTTAAACCACAGGAGACTGGGTACAATTTTTAGTTTTTATTTAGGCTAGTATTTCCCTTTCAGTTGAGTCATATTCTTCCACTTATCAATGACAGATCCCCTCTATTACTAATATGCATGACAACAGAAAGGAATTCAACTTATGTTAGGGTTAGGATGACACTTTACACACACAGCTTAAAGCATGTAAGGAAGTTAAGTACATCAAGGTAAATACAGGCTCTTATTTCAGACCATTCTTGACAAAGAACTGGATGTACTGAGACCTAATTTTCTTCATCATAACCATCTACACACACAACCTACAGGAGTGTTTATGGATCTAACCAAGCTGTCATTAGGACACCAAAGGTTCCACATGCCTGTCTTCTTCTGCCTCCTTGTTTGAACATTAGCGAAGGAGGAAACAGGACAGGAGGGTGGGTGGAGGACAGATGGGTGGGGTCTCCATCTAAACGTTTTCAATTCGTCATGTTCACATCTGTACACGCAAAAAAAGTAATGGTGACCGAGGGAAACACCACAACACCTGGCATACACGGACCTCAGCACGAGGAGGGTTCAGAGTAAATACACACACACGGTACGGTTAAGGGTTAAGGGCCCTGGGGTTTGGTTGCCGTGGTCCCGTCCTTGCACATACACAGATACAGTCTCACACAAGCACTGTACACGGCACAAGAGGTCACCTAAATACATGGAGCCAATGAGGGAGAGCTAACATCTAGGAGGGTGGACTGGATAGCCTACAGGCTGAGAGGGGGTTAAAATTCTTATTTAGACCATCAGGTCACACTCGCACACACACACACAAACACACCCTCATTCACACAGTGACATACGTCTGTATGCATTTAAAACTCCATAAAGCTACACGCCTGTGCAGAATATACTATCATCACTTAGTGTTGCTAGCTATAGCCATTGAAATGGCAATATATGTTCAAATATTATATGTAACCTTTTTTTTCCTCAGAATATACAATGATGAAATGCATTATACAGACAAACGAGACAATGTAAGCTGTTCACATGTTCAGTACATCAAAAGTAAGAGCTTCTCTACATTAATTTTCTTCACGAGTGCAAAATCCAATGCTCCTCCACCTACTTCAAAGGTTCATTGCTGAGCTATAGCAAGTCCACTTCTGCACAAACCATAAACCAATAAAAAAAACACGACATTAACAAAACACACACAAAAAAAATCTAAATAAGTAGTCATAAATATGGAATGTGAAAAACAAACAAACGTGGTCCAATTTCTTTTCAAACAATACAAATAAAAGTCCTTCAATGCAGTTAAATGTTTTCTCTTGTAACAGGACAACATAATAAAAAAATAGTACTCAAAACGAGAGTGGGCTGTTGCTTGCTTGTGGCCCCTGTTGTGAGTAGAAGACCATGGGAAGCTGGTGACGAACACAAAGAGAGAAGGGCTGATGGAAGGAAGGTGTTTGGGTCAAGTTGTGGCGGAGGGTGGGGTGGGGGGGGGAGGAGGTCGGGGTTGTTGGGTGTTCACATGCCATAGCCGAAGCTGGGCTGTGGTGGTTGGCTGTAGCCTGGTGCTGCTGTGTAGCCGTAGCCGTAGGGCTGCTGAGGAGGCACGGCCACGTTGGGCCCTGCTGTAAGCATGAGCTGGGGTGTGCCTGCAAACACAAACATCAGAATGAGAAGTTAGGAAAGTCATTAACGTCAAAAATATTCCCTGTTTGTGTTAAGTGTCCTCGTAACTGGTGGATTATTGCAACCTAATTATCGCGTGTGTGGTCTTTTTACCGTAAACAATGGGTTGAGACTCAGTAGCCTGCTCCTCCTGTTTCCTCAGAGACTCAGAGGCTTCGAGTTTGTCCACCTGTGGAAAACACAATGACAGTGAGTGGGTCAGACTTCAGTTGCACTGTGGCCGATGGGGCTCTTGAAGAGCAAGGGCTGAGACGCCGGGTTTGTAAAAAAACTGACCTCTGGGTTATTTCACTGGCTGACGGATGGGACCATTCCTGACAGGCGAAGATGAATACAGTCCAGATTTAAATAAAAAACAGGCTGCAGGAGGCAGGCCTTGCTAATGTGTTGGAGGCCCTCTAGAAGGCAAGAGGAGTAACTACATCTAGAGAGCTACTGGCTACTCTATCAAGCTTGGCTACAAGAGTCTATCAGATAGACATCCACTTCTTTGTGTCAAGTATTAGGGATTTGGAGAGGAGACAAAGACAAACAGCTACAGGGCAATAATGGTCCCACCATCCAGCCACCCAAATCATCTACTCTAAACATGTAGGAAATGTAGAGTATGTAGAGAACCAACCCTTCACCAGTATAGACAGACTCACTAAGATAAGCATTCATGTTTTTTCACCGTTAGTTAGTTTGTCCATCTCATAGCAGAATATCAAACCGTTCTGCTCTGTTTTGCATTTTAGATGGCGAACAGAGAAGCAGACCAAGACACAGCTTGATTAGCCTTCAGTAGCAATCAGGATTGGTAATAATACATTTTCCAGCTGTAATTAGGAACCTAACAGAGGCGAAGACTTGATTCTGAAAGACTGGGCTTCAAAAGATGCTTTACACAACAAAGTAATCAAATTTAGTTATTGAGTAACGGCAGAACGTCAGGCTGAAACATGCTTCATGTGCCTGTGTTTATGCTGTCTCGTCTGTAGACTTGCGTGTGCCATCCAGAAACATCACTGTCATCCTTGAGACAGGCGTAGAAATGCTCTTTCATAAATGATGGCTTTTTGTAGTCAGTGTTGGGGTTACAGGAATAAACATCTTTATTTGAGTTGTGTTTACTTATTTGAGATGTTTACCTAGTTTGTTAGTGCAAACACTGAATATAGCGATTATTTTCATTATCTATAAATCTCCCAATTATTTGCACAATGAATTGATTAATCACATGGTGTGTCAGAAACAGTGCAAAGTGAAGTCATCAAAAGTCAGCATTTTCAGAGGCATGCCCGCGGCCCTCACACGTGCTCTAATTAAGTCACTGCCTGCGTGCCAACAGCTACAAGAAGCATGTAGCAGCCTTGAGAATCAACTTGCTAAATCTTTCTGTTTTTTCTTTGGTGCTTCAGTATTTGCTAAGCAGCTCAGAGGCAGACAATGACGGGAGGGGGAAAGGACAAAAGATAGAGCTAAAAACAATTCAGAGAATTAAGCAGCCAGCAAAAAGGTTCAGATATTAATCTCAGCTGTGACAGTGTACATCTTAAATACTGACAATGCTAAATGACATAACAGGATAGCTTTCCTGTTTCAGTGGTTTTGGGTTCAGTTCTCTACATACTGCCTGGTTTATTACTAGAGTCGGTCAATCTGGTTAAGCAGGCTGTTTTTAAGGAAAGACAGGCTGTTGTTTGGTTTCAGAAGAGAAGGGTTGAGAGACATGCTGAAGCGGCAGTTTAGTTATTTTCTTCTTCAAGAGTGCATGAGAAAAAAAGACAGAGAAGCAGAGAGCATAGTGGAGGGAGTGTGAGAGAGGGTGGAGGGGATGGTTTTGTACAGCCAGTTCAAGGTTTCCAGAAGCAGGCACAGCCAACAACCATGTCTCCTAGCCTGGCCTGAGTGCTGCTGATGCTACCACGGGAGGGGGAAATGCATGCTTGTCGCTTTACATGTAGTCTTTCCCCCAGAGAACACACCCAAATGAGAGATTATTTGCTCTCATAAACTGAAGTTGTTTGTTGCTTGAAGAGACCACACTTTAAAGTAGCAAAGAATGCTCAGAGAGACAAATGTTGTAGGAAAATATATTATAGGAATACCCCTGTAGCCATGTATCTCATGTTTTGGGGTTTTTTAAATCGCCTGTGTTCTTCTATTGCCTTGAAATAAATTCATTAATACCGACAGACATGGAGAAAAATAATAGAAAGGTCTCTGAAAGAATGGTCACTTCGTAAAAATAATGCCTCACTGCCTCTTGTATTTCTAAAATTAGGTCTTACACTTAGCTGCAATCTATGCTACTGCACATCGGTCAAAATACACATATGCCCTCACCCCTCTCAACATAAATATATAGTTAAGAATCATAAATTTGCCTTGAAACACATATGCTTCCTGAGCCATGTCAGGATGATGTCTAGGAGCAGCAGACTGCAGCTGAGTGGTGTTATAAGACAGTTTAACATTAGAATTTATCTACCGTCTGTGAGAAAAGGACCTGACCACAGTAGGTGAGGTAGTTATCCAGAGTGGCGCTCTTCACAGACACCCTAAGGAGAGCTGATGGGAATGCTGGCTTAAGTGGACGGCTCAGTGTGTTTGAGGATAAAGGCTGTGGGGACGCATTTAATAGAGGCGTGTGGGGGACAACTGCAGAGTCCAAAGATTATCCTTGGACTCCTGGGAGATTTATACATCTTTCAGCTTATTATTTCAGTTTTCTGTTTTGCTTTCATACTGTCGTTGGCTGCAGCCAGCAGCTGTTTTCAGTGAAAATATGCGAAAACATGTCAGAATTTTGTGTTTACTGTTTGTTTCCTGCTGACAACAAACTGTTATTGTATTTACATATTTCTCACTGTTTAACTGCTGTTTGCAAAGTGCAAAACAAAAGTCTAGTCTAGTTCTGAACTGTAATTCTGCTCCTTAACAAGTATTTAAGTTACTGTATTGACATGCCTGAGCAAACCTCTCAGTAGGTAAATCCTGTCAGCGATCATTAATGATGAACTTCATAATTCCAAGGAGGAGTTATGTTCAGTTTTGTGCCTGTGTAATGCAATAACAAGTGGATCTAGAGCCGTCACTGACACCAGCAAACCCAGCAGAGCCCTGAGGGACGGGTGTAAAGAGCCCCGCTCTGGAGTCTCGTGGGTTGGTGGGTGGTCTAGTTGAGATGTGGAGTTTACAATCAGAAGCAGCAGAGTGACATGGGGGGTAG